TGTATGTCAATTACTTCAGTATCAAATTGTAGTATTTTTCATTAGTTAATTCCTTAACTTAAAAGTAAATATTAAAAAAAAAATCTAAATATTGATTTTTGTGTGTCACATGGTATGTTGAATGCAACTTTGGTTCAAATTAGATGTTTGTGATGTTAAAATACAAAGTCTATAGTTTCTTATGAAAATCTTAAACCAATGGTCTCAAACAATGGTAAGTGAAAAAAATTAGAGGTTACGCAAATAAAATTTGAATTTTTTCAGATGAAGAAAAGTATTTTTAATCTTAAAATGAAAATCACTTTGCACTCAGAGCAGTCAACACTCTTACTTAATATAATTATGAAAAATTTTTGGGTAAAAATACTTAATTGAAAAACCTACTTTTTTGTCAACAGAAGACTTGTAATATTTATTAAAAGCTTGCTTAATTTTGTAAACATACATTAAGTACTTTTATAGTTGTAGTATGTATACTTTCATGGTTCCATGGTGGTTACAAGGTCATGTAAAATGTATGAGCCCATGTCTATAGAGATAATTAGTATAACTCAAGCTACAAAGTGCATATGAAACAATGGTGTAGGAATGGAATAAATAAACGTATGGTAATTTAATTAGGTAATTGCATTCAGTAATATGAAATATTCACCTGTATTTATTATATTCATAATTTGTGTGTAATTTTGTTTTATATGCTATTGTTTATTCTGAATTTTGAACTTAATTTTCATTAACACTTTCAACCTGGGCTCGGTCCCTGGGACCGACCTCGTAACCATTTTGTGCTTATTATAGTTTTCATGCTATAACTTTTAAATTAGTGAGCTAATGTTAACAAAATTTGGCATTCTATCAGTAAACATTACAATGCTTTCATACGCTAAATATATATATATATTTTTTATTAAGTCTTAAGTTTGTAAAGCAATGTTTCTCGCATGCCTTTTTTTTTTCTTTTCACATCTTGCCTATCTATCATGCAAAGTAATTTTCATTTTAAGATTAGAAATATTTTTATGCATCAAAATATTTTAAAATTTCACATGCAAAATCTTTATAATGTCCAGATAGCTATCAAACATTTTTTAAGAAAAAACTGTACATTTTATCTGTTATTTTCAGTAATTAATAAATGTATGTGTTCGGTAAATTTGACCTATTTTGCAACCACCATAAAAAATTAGGAAATAAACATAAATTTTGCCTCTTTCATTCTAGAATGAACACAAATTATAAGCCTTCAAATATTTTGCACGTGGAGGACATGAAACAAAATATTTTTTTAGGTTTTATATATATATACTTTTGAATAAATAAAAAATCATAAATTATTACATCAATAGCATAGAATTCTACTATAATTTATCAAACTTAGTAACTAAGCTGTATTTGGGTCTAAAAAAAATACTAAATTTCGATCAGACTAAAGACACAACCTACCTCTTTGAAATCTTGGTTCAAAAGAAAGAAATGGCATTAGGTACATTAGAAATGCTGAGAAAACCACTAGCTTCCAATTACTTATTCATGACATATATAGAAGTAAGTGTATATAAGGTAGCTTTTCCAAAAATGGAAAGAAGTTAGCAGGATACCACTCTGTTTGATTTATTACATGAGCAATATCTTAGCAAATAGAAAAGATAAAACCTTCTTACTTTATATTCTAGCTTGTCAATATCGGTAGTATAGACTTAGTATTTTGACTTCATAAACATCTAATTTGAACCATTGAACATACCACGTGACACACACAAAAATAGATGTTTAACTGTGTTTTTAACATTTACTTTTAAATTAAGAAATTGAGTGTTGTTTAGTTCTAAAATTTGAATTATAATCTGCAGTTTGATACCAAACTTATTGACATAAGTTCATGAAATAGTAGTTCAATAAAATTTTGAATGTGAGTCAACAAACGAGATGACATGGCCTTTCACCTGTGACCCGTTTTGAAAGGGTTAAAGAGGTTAGAGTATGACAGTTTAAAATTAGTGTAAGTGTATTATATGTATTAAAGTGTGTCTTAACCCTCTCTGCTTGGGCATCATTTACTGTGTATGTCATGAGGTCTTAGTGAACTACATTCAAATTTTATCAAACTAAGTTTTGTTTATGTTATACCACTTAGTATAGCATAAAATCTTAGTTAATAATCTATATTTTAATAGTACATAAGTTTTAAGTTCTTAATTTTGTAAGTCATTATTAAAACATCCTGAAATCCCCTATTGAAATGTGACATATTTTCTCTAGGCATCTTCTCTTCTCTATTTTATTCACCACCCCTCCAATTATTATGAAATTTAACGTAAATTACTCACTATAAAATTATCATTGCTCAGACAAACCATAATTTTTATAGCCTTCAATTTTGTTTGGTTACAGAGCCATCAAATATACAATCAGACCCCTTTTGCCACACCCACCTGTCACATCCTCTTTTTCAGGATTTGTTAATAATTCTCTCTTATGTTTAATACTATATTATTTATAATATATTGAAAGCCATGGTTTTCATTTATCAAATGATGTATCATATTACATTGTTTTCTGTATACAGAATTGTCAGTTTCTCTGTTAGTACAGGCTTTGTTCCCATGGGAAAGATAGTGACTAGCTTGGATGAATTTGTAATGGCTCTTGTGATAGTTAAGGGAAATTGTCTGCTTTTTGCATGGTATTATTCTTTGTTGCATTATTTAAATGAATAAAAATTCAGTCCGTTACTACCATTAGTATGAAAAAGTAGGGTTTAGTGTCATCAACAGCAAAAAAAGAAGACCCTAGTAAGTACTTTATTTTTTGTTTATCATGTTTATTCTTTATTTATTATTATAAAAGTAACTAAAATGTAAAAATAGGGATCTCTTAAGTTTTATTAAGTTTGGATTAAGTGTAACAAATAATAATAATATAATACAAATGTTTTACGAGATATGCACATGAGCAGCTCATGGGTAATGTAATTCAATAGCATGACATCAGCTCCATGTTTTCCAAGTGATTTACAACTTATAATGATGCAGATTGTAGTCAGGCAAGGTTCAAATGGCAATAAAACAATAAAATGTAAGTATAAATAGATGTATACTGTTATGAGTTTAAAGCTACTCAGGGTAAACAAATGTAGTTTTATGTTACAATTTGAAGTCATTCTAGATATATTTCAGTTTTTTTCTTTGGTGGTTATGAGGTCTGTGAAATTGGCCAACCTTGTATAGAATTAGGGTTGAGAAAATAACAGATAAAATATAAAGTTTTACTGAAAACAAACATTTGAAATGTATTTAGGTGGTTTCAGAGATTACACAAATGAAATTTGAGATTATTGAGATGAAGAAAGTATTTTTAATCTTAACATGAAAACGACTTTGCACATGGATCAGTCAAAGTAAATACTCAATATATTCCTGGAGGAATCTTTTTTTAGTTTATTAAAAATACTTCACTAAAAAAATATGATTTTTGTATGTGAAAGACTTAAAATGTTCACTGAAATTTGCCAAATTTTGTGGAAATATACATACTATATTTAACGTTAGTAGTATGGAAACTATAAAGACTTTAAAGAAGTACAAAGAGGTCACGTGGTTGGTCAGATTGACCAAATGCATATTGAGAGAGTTAATTTCTTTGAATTTGTACACTAATTAGCCAGTTTATTAAGACATTTTCACATATGTTTGTAGAACTCTATTTTCTTATGCAAAATACACTGATTACATGATTGTAAATCAAGAAATGTAATCTTATGGTTAATCTATAACTCAGTGGGTAAGAGCAAGGACCTCTATGATTTTGAAAGAGGCATGATGTGGATATCTGTCTTGTAGAAGCATCATTATTAAAGACTATTTCTTTGGCCGTCAGAGGCAGTCAAAAGTGAGCCCAAATTTTACCAAGAAGATTGAGTTAGAGCATTTTGACTGACTAAAGGAAAAGACAGCATTACAAGTTTTAAAGAACACAGATGATAGACTTTATCCTGATAGATTAATCACTTCGAAAGAAGTCAGTGTATTGGATTATCTCTATCTCTACCATGTGAATGAAATTGGAAAAGCTGTCATATGGCAGGGAAGGTGCAGACTGAAAAGCACTTTATAATCTCAGGTGCTAAACAGGGGGCACAGTTTCACTGATGCTTGAAGCACAAACTGAAGAAGTTGAGTGACTGGAAGTATTTGATATGGATTGAGGAAATTGGGGAGCAAAAACATGTAATGGGCTTGATCCTGGTTTTATTGTTATTACCATGCATATCATTGAAAATGGTATTATGGAATGGAAATATACTTCTGGAAAAGGTCATATCCTTCTATTCTTTTAGAAGGGTGATTAGTATCCAGAATGTTGCTGAACTTGCCCTTTCCATTGTGTTACATTTTCATCTTGATTGACAGTAGGTTTCCAGAAAATATGCAACAATCAACTGCAGTCATGCTACCTAAGTTATTTTAAACATTATGAACAGTTCAGTCATAATTTTTAGCTGACACAATGAATTGTAATCTTATTGATTGTCTTTGCAATAAATTTGAATATTGCCAACATCTTTCAAAAAGTTTTATTCTGTGCTTCTTAAGGAGTGGATTAAAATTGAATAAAACACCTTTGGCATTCGTGGATTCTATACCACACTTAATCCAGGCTATTATCATGGTAAAAAGTGGTTTAACACAAAACTGGGGTTAAACCCATTTATTAACTAAATGGCTAGTTAATACATTGACAGTTTTAATATTTCATTTAGATAAAACATTTTATTTTGAAATTTTCCACTCAGTGGTTTGTTATATTTGTACAAAACTTGAATATAAACCTGTAGTAACACATATGCCTATAGAATAAAACAAGTTAAACATACATAAAAGAAAAAGTTAAAACTTTCAGTTAGTAAAGCAAATATGGGAAACAAGTTACCAGACTGTTAAATATCAAGTGTAATGTGTTGCCCTGGATTAGTACACAGTTTTAATTATTTGACTTAATAGTGGAAGAAATGAAATATCAGATTTCCAGACTGCAGCAGCAAAAGGTTCAGCTAGAGAGCAACTTGAAGCAGTATCAGACAGACTACAAGATTTTAAAAGATCATCAAGCTATACTGTTGGAGGAGAACAGAAAAAATGTACCACACAAGGATCATGTGGAGGCTATGTTGGAGACTCGTAGGTAATGCTTTTAAGATGGAGTTCATAGAAATCATAAAAATTGTGGAACAGTTCAGATTTGTGAATAGGATGTTGAAGTTATTTGATGTTGTATAAATTAGTTTAAGCTATAAAATTTAAACAGTAGCTCCAAACCACTTAAAATAGAAAAAAACATGAAACTAAAAGTGCTTCTTGAATGTGAAAGTTTTTGTGTATATGTGAAATATCACTCCTGCATTATCTTTGCCTTATCATCTTCATAAGTAAATGAGCTTTGTCAGTATATCTCACTTTGTTAGTTTTTTTCATTTTGTTTGATTTGCTTTTATTTCAAATGTTTCAGCTATAGGTGTTAAGTGGAATTAAAAAAATTTGAGTTATTTGCTTCTCAGCAATATAATCACTTTTTTTTATTTTACTGCCCTAAAATTATTTACAGCAAAAATGTATATAATTTATCATGTTAAGAATAAGGTGAACTAGTTAGATAATAGTCTGTTATGGCATCAAATAATCAATAAAAATATTATAAAAGCAATAAACAATTGTTGCATAAATTTTAAAGTGATAAAAAATGCAAATAAATGTATTGTACATTTAACTTTTTAGAAGTTAAATATGGTTCTAAAGTAACAAGATCTTTTTGCTTTATGAAGCACTAGCAAAAGTACCGGCTTCGCTCAGGTTATTAGGGTGATATATTCTAGATGACTATGTCAGTGTGTGTATTCTGAACCCATTTTAGCATAAAAGTATAACCTACATACTTTTGTTGCTAAGCAACATGACATAAGAGCCATTATTGGAATGCATTTTCTGTATATTATGAGTGCAAATGTTTAGGTTTCTAGGTTCTTTTTTCTTGGAGCTATGGTGGTCACAGTTATTTTTTATGTGGTTTTTTTTGTAGCTTGCCTCTTAAAAGATGTACATGCACATGGATAAGTGATAATATTCTGTTGCACACCCTCAGGATCCACTTATTATGGGTGCAAAATTTCAAGTTTCTAGATTCTTTCCTCTTGGAGCTATGGTGGTCATACACACAGACCCACAGACATGCTCTTTTATTATATATATGAAGCTTTCCAGTATGGTTTTCTGGCCTTGAGGACTATGGTTATAAGACACAAAGAATGTGGAGGTTATACAAGTTAATAAAAATGTGAAATAAATAAGTATTGAAACAAAAAGAAGTTTATTAATCTTATAACTTGTCTGTTTATATATAATTAAAACAACCTTCTCTCTCTCTCTCAATATTATTGTGAAACACTATTGAATTTATTAATTAGCTAACTTCTCTGCCTACAGTTTTTGTTTCTTACTGAAGTTTCAAAGAAACATTCTTCATCAGGTAATAGAACTACTACTTAAACCCTCATCTATTGGATGCTAAACAATGAAAGCCAGTACTCATGTAGGTGGAAGTACAGCCAAGGATTGCCTAACCTTTGAGTTTAAATGTTACAACTAGATTTATGTGCATTGGCATCCACTTTATGCTTCTATCTTTTATTGACTGGGAAAGCCATCATTCATGTATTGAACCCTCTAGTCTTAAATACTATAAGAGAAAATTAAGATTAGATGGTTAGTCAAGTAATTTCTAAGGTTCTGCACAGAACCATTGCTTTTGACAAGCTATGTTTTCATTGAAAGAATTTGGTATCTTTTGTTTATTTTTTTATTCTGTTTTGTTTTGCATAGGTTTAAGGAAAACATTATTATATAAGATAGAATAATGGTAGAATTAACTCTAATTTTTGTTCTGTTTGCCTTTTTCAGTTAGTGATATTGGTCTCCTTTAACCTGTAGGTTGATTCTTAAGGATTTTATATTCTTTCATCAGTACTTACGTACATTATTCGGGAATCATCACCAAACATGTATGCTCTTTCAGCCATGGGGACATTATAACATGATGGTCAATCCCATTGTTAACTGCTAAAAGAGTGGCTCAATGGTTGGTGGTGGGTGATTTTTGACTAGCTGCTTTCATTCCAGTCTACAGCTTCAAAATTAGGGATGGACTAGCACAGGCTGCTCTCGAGTAGCTTTGCATGAAAATTCAACAAAAATTCATGTAGATTCTTTCTCTGACAGGCTGCTAAATGAACTGAAGAGGAAACATGAGGACCAAGTTGAGAAACTAGAAGAACAGTTACAGGTAAAGTCCAACATAATGTTGGTAGGCCAAGCAGAGATATTAATGGTTATCTGTTAGTTGAGATCTTGCTATGTTAACAGATGTTCAAATGTAATAATGTTTTATTTTTATGGTGAATGTGTAAATATGGGTATACACAACTTATCTAGGTGGTATCAATGCAGTTTCATAAATACATCATTTATCTTACATAAGGTTATAGGGTACTTGATCTTTGAGTTTTTAGTTGTATATGTAAAGTTTAAATAAATTCAAAGAATGAATTCAAAACCTGAATGGAAAATATTAGTTTTTATGATATAAATTCTAGAAATGGGAATATATTTCCAGAAGTATTATGTTACTAGACCTTCCAAGAACTGTGGTATGTGATGTTCATTTAATTTACATGGCAATTCGTTAAAAAAAAAATTACAATGGATAGTTAGTGTTATTCTCTTGAAATCGTGGCTCTTTCTTGCAAAAACATTGCCTACATCCTAAAAATATTTCCACTTATCAAAAGCATTGAAAAATAATTTTATTTTTACTGTCTTGTTTTCTCTGTGGCCTGCATTTTTGTTTGGCTTGGCTATTTCTGGAAAAAAAGATAGTCCTCTCCAGATTGTTTGAGCAATACAAGTAAAAATACATTTGACATGTTTATCTTTTTACTTGTACATTTTATTAAATAATTCCTTATGAATGACATTTATTGAAGTCGTAAAATGATCGAAAACTAATTGTATATGTAGCATTTGTTGTAAAAATCTTTTAATATAAATGTATATAAACAGATATGTAAATTTATAATAAATAATTATAAAATGCTAAAATAACTATCAGAGCTTGTAATGATAATGAGTATCTTTCAAATTACTAACAATATCTGGAATATGCAGAAATAAATATACGATACTCAAGTGGGTGTATCTTGTTGTGGTATAGATTGAGTGAACGTCAGGCATGGGCATTTTTCCACCAACATACCTTTTTGACCATCCTCACTGAGTAGTCTCATGATTCATGTGATGTTGGAAAGAAAAATCAAGGGAGGCAAGGTGTAATAATGTTGTCAGGTTTTTATTTATGTGTTATAGGCAGGATTCTTTACAGTAAGTGTCTGTGACTTGTTGGCAATAAATTTCAACAATAAATGGACAGCACACAATCTACTTGTTTGAAAATAATGTATTCTGATACAGAACCTTGCCTCCTCTCACAGTTGTAGCTATTATCGTTCAGTGCTGCCCTCTATATGCAAAAATGTTTTCACATGCCACAAACCTTGAGCTCCCACATACCCCACGATCAATGGGGTTCACTGCGTCTTACATGTAAATCATCATCCAATAGTAGTGCAACACACCCTCCTGATGCATGTAACTCCCTCTATTTGATTCTACCAAACTATCGCATCTCATTAGGCAGTGGTCTAGTGCAGACGTTTTTTCACTTGTGCTTTCTCTTTTTTTTCTCTTTTTGTGTGTGTCTGCAAAGTAGTGATTTAACTGTATTATTATGTTGCTACAGTTGGTTTTCTGTAGTATTTTACCACAATAACTTACCTTTGTTTACGAATTTTGATTTTTTCACTTTTCGAATTCTTCACAGTGTATGAGGAATTCTGAGTTTCATGTTACAACTTGTGACATTCTTCTCTCTACTTCACATGCCATTACACAGGCTTCATGTTGGGGTGGGGGGTCTCCACTAATGGGTTTTTTTGGCTATCATTCATCAGGCAATTGATTATATGAGTCGACCTTTTTCTCCAGACAGTGTTCAGGTTCCTTCTTAATCGTGTTAACCTGTTCATCATGAGGAGGAATTTTACAGCTTTTTTCCTCCACCTAACTATGCCATGCCTTCCCAAGCCTCTTCTACAGAATATGCCAGGCTTAACTAAGTTTTTCGGATATGATTTCTCAAGTGTGTTCTATTATATTGATTTCATCCTTAGAGTACCTTGTTTCCACTCATTCTACTTGACATCAGAGTTCATGCTGAGCATTTCATTTCTCATTATGTTTTGTCTTATCATCAGACTGATCAACTATTTCTTGACTACCAAGAATTGGAGCCACTTTTGCCAGTGTAGGGGGCTGACTGTGAGAATCCTATTTGTTTCTCCCAAGACCATTTTTCTGCCTTCATATTACCCTAACAGTTCTCTTATGGTACCTGTCCACCATACACCTTCTTTCTGAGGCACTCCACCAATCCTCTGAGGGTTTTTCAGGGGTTACCCTTTCCCTCATTACTTCCACATTGGCATGGTTTTTTTCCTCAGCTCTATCCCATCACACGTGGTTTATTTGCTGTTGGATTCTTATTATGAGGGATGCTGTCTGGTTGTAGGTTAGTCTACCTTTCGCTTATCTTCGTTACTTATGGCTGGCTCCTTTTCTCTATCCATCTATTTTTGAAGATATTCCTCAGTCTTTTGACCCTTTCATCTTTGGTTGCTCCTTTTTCTCATCCCAACCTCATGCCCTCTCCCATAACCATTTTTGTACTGCACCTTCGCATCCTTTACAAGTTCCTACCACTAGCAGGTCGACACTTTGTAGTGTTTCGAAGTCGGATTCATTGTTGCCAGCAGTTCTGGTGATTATCAGGTGTTTTCCAGTCCAGTGGGGTCTTGTTTGGCCGATTTCGTTCCCTTGTAATGGGAATTTACTACCAGTCCTTGGGTGATCCAAGTTTTGTCAGAATGACATTTCATCCTTTCCCTTTGCCCACCCTCGTTGTCTCCTGTATTGGTATCATTCCCGTTACCTCAGGTTCCCACTACCAGTCAGCTTCTATCTGCAGCTGTGCAGACTCTTCTATCACAGAGAGCTATCAAGCCTGTCAACCTGTCTTCCCCATGCTTTTACTCCAGGCTTTTTGTCATCCCCAAGAAAACTGTTGACTGGATTCTTGTGATCGATTTGTCCTGCCTCAATCAAATTTTGGATCTTTCCTGCATTACCATGGAGTCCTTTCTCACACTGAGGTGGGCTTTTTCTTCAGGACTACGGGATGATCAAGGTAGATATCTCGAATGCTTATCTCCATATTCTTATTTTTCATCAGTCCAGATATTATCTTCAGTTTGTTCACTATAGGGATGTGTATCAGTTTTGTGCCTTGCCTTTAAGGCTTGCTTTGGCACCATATATATTTTGTCGGGTAGTCAAAGCCTTTGCCTGACTTCTGCATGCTCGAGGGTTGCATTTACACCACTATATGAACTAGCTCCTGTTAACTCATTTCGAACTGGAGTCTTCTCAATACACATATCTGCTACTGACAGAAGCAGCTCATGTTGGTTGGATTCTCAAGTTACAGAAGTTTTTCCTTTTGCCTCCCAATATCTTATTTACTTGGGTTTGTCTTTCAACACCCACCTTCATCAGGCCCAACCTTCTCAACTTCATCTCCATTTGATGGAGCTTTCAGTTCTCTATGTTTTTGCTTCTCTCTCTCTTTCTGCACTTGAAGTTCTATCACTTTTTCTTCCATAGAAGTCCTATCCCCTTGGAATGGCACATATGTGTTCTCTTCAGTGAACTTCGCACGACTAATGGAATCTTGCTTCGGATCTCTTGGACTCCCTAATTACCCTTCCCCCTTCCCTTATATTTGATCTGCACTGGTGGTTGAATGTTCCTTTTGTGGTAGAACATTCAAACTCCTTTATTGGGCCCACATGCTATGGTATTGTCTCCTTATGTGTCATGTTCCTGGTGCTTTCAACCTCGCAGCAGATCACCTTTCCAGACCCGATAAGGTTTATCCCATGGAATGGTCTCTCGATTCCCAGGTTTTTAGGTGGCCCTGCAATTGATGGGGTACTCCTAATCTGGATGCTTTTGCCACTTTCCTCATCTCCAAGATACCTCTTTTTTGGTCTCTCTTTCCTCATCCTCAGGACCTGGCTATGGATGCTTTCAAACAGGACTGGACCAACTTGTACCTTTATGTTTACCCTCCTGACTCCTTCCCAGGGTGATTTCGGTCATCCATGCCACTCCATGTCAGGTCTTTCTGATTGCTCCTTACTGGCCTGTGCAACTTTGGTTTCCTTGTCTCAGTCAGATCCTACCTACACCTCTGTTGCCTCTTCATCTCACTCCATCTCTACTTCACCAACCTTGGGCACTGGTCCTACACTCCACTCTTCATACCCTATGACTTCATGTCTGGCCTTTATCAGGTCCTTGGGAAGGTATTAGGATTTTCAAGGCGTGTTGCCTTCCTTTTAGCTCAGAACATTTGACTCCCTGACATGAGGTATCAATATAAATGGACCATCTTCCATCAGTGGCCTTTGAGTTCGAGTTTTTCCGCTTCTCGACCCATGGTTCCTCATATTACAGATTATCTCACCTGGCTGTTCGATCATGGGGCTTCTCTCTATAGCTGGTTATCATGCGCCTTATCCAGCACCTATAATTTTTGCTGTACCATTTGGTGTTTTCCTCTCCTATTATCTCCCTTTTATGGCACTCCTTCTGGATACATAGACATCCTCATGAGATGGTTCTTCTGGATTGCAATTTCAATCTCGTTCTTCACTGCCTTACACTCCCTCCATTTGAAAGTTTGTCTTCATATTCCTTGTTTCACCTATCCCTTACAACTAATTCTCTACTCTTTTTTTTTCCTGTAGACATTGTCAGTCTGATAACTTTACCATCAATGTTTTATGTATTCCATTCCATTCTACATATGTTCTTCTTTATCCGCATACCTTCCTTACCCAAAATTTCGATAGCTCATGAGGGACATTTTTCCTTCTCGACAATTTCCACTTTTTCCATTTCTCATCTTTATTCCTGGACTGATCTGGATAGACTTCTGTGTCCTGTACATGCTCTTTGTTGTTACATTGCTCTTATGACCTCCCTCCATGGTTCTCCATCCTGCCTTTTCACACCTTTCTCCTTCTACCCTAATGGGTTGGGTTACTCAACTGACTAGATTGGCACATTTCTCCTTGTATTATTCTTCTTGACATCTGTTCTAAGTGT